TTCAACAAATTATTGATATTTAAATTTGCCTTTTAACTTTAATTCTATTTTTTATGCCTATCTTTTCTATATTTTTTTATTTATTCATCTTCACTATCTATATCACTTTCAGTTAACTCTGCTTCTAATTCAGATAATTCTATATCATGATCTTCTTCATTATTTTCTATTAATTCATCTTCACTACTTTTATCACTAGTATCAGAATCTAATAATTCAAACCTATGACTTTTACTAGATCTACTATTAAAATAGATTATTGCTTTCATTATATCAGATGACTCCAATTTAGGACATGTAAGCTTATAGTTGGTATATATATATACTGGTTTTAATACTTGTTGTAGTAATAACTGATTTCATTTTTATCATGTATATAGAAAAAATTTGACTAATTTTTTTTTGAAGCTGCTGATGATAATAAAATTGTAAAAATTTTCAATGCAAATTTACATAATTCAGGTGCTAATGCTTCAAAATTCCCCTTCTACCAAGAAACAGGATCTACTTTATTTACTGTATTCCAAGCCAATTTAAAATCAAATATACCAGACTTAGTTTTATATTAAAGTAACTGTTGCTAGATAAAGTTGGCTTCATCTGAATAATACCATCAAACAAATATTGAAATAGTTGACATGCCTAAAGTTGTATTATAAATATTACAATCTTATATGTATAATTTATGTAAATTAAATTTTATGTAACTTTTATTACATTATATAATTATCTATAAATTATGAGTTATATAAAATTTATTTACTTAAACTTATACAAATTATATAAAATTACAACATTACAAATATAGAAATACAAAATATTAACAGGTTTGTATATTTAGTAGATAAAAACTAGCAAATAAATTGATAAGCTAATTTGTATCTCTATTGAAACATACTATTAGCAGAAAGTTTTTTTCTATAATATTGTAGATCCAACAAGTGTGTTACTGATAATATGGGTTGATATATTTTTTCTATCTATTCTCTAATAAAGTTTTAATTGTGGAACCTACTTCAGAAAAAACATAAACTAAAATAATATAATAAATTATATATTATATATATATATATATAAATAATATAAGTATATTAATTGGTTTATTATCAGATTCTAATTGTTCGTAATATTACTGATAAAATAATGCTAATCTTGGCGTGTCTGATTTAAAAGTAGCAATACCTATAACCAATTTATCTAATATTATAAGTAAAGAATCAATATTTTCCTAAAAACTCTCATATGTTATAATATTACTTATAGTCTCAGGTATTAAAATATAACTGTTATGAACTAATTTAGTTATAGTTAGTTTAGGTGCAAGTTGATTTTGAACAAGTGAATTAAGACAGGTTGCTGAAGATCCTCACAATGTTTTAACTGGATACTTAAGAGAAATTTATTGATTATATGCAGCTAATTAGTTTTATTTTAATACATATAGCTATTGGAATTTGATTTTTTCAAAAGTATACAACTATTTTCTTTGCATTTTTTAATAAATTTGCATACTATCTTAATTTCATTATATCACCAACTAAAAGATTTAAACTATGTGCAATACAACCTAAGAACAAAATTTTAGAATAATCTATTTCTAAAAGGTGCTATGCTTTTTTTATTACAGCAGCATTGTTGGTAATAATTGCAGAAATTTTTGAGATACCTATTTCGATTATAATTTTTTTCCAATTTATAAGCAATAGCATTACCAGTTTGACAGATTTTATTAGTTGGATATGCTGTATAAAAAACTGGTTTTGGTGTTGTTAAAATATAATTATTTCAATGTTTATATACTAAATTGGACCAACTATCTGATATAAGACACAGGTTTTGGCTATTATTATTAATCAATATTTCAACATTTTTTTTGATTTTATTGTAAACTTTATCTAGTAAGACAGTTGAAAGGTTTTTCTGACTAGGCAACTTGAATGCTAGCTGTGCCTGTTTCCACAACTTTTTGATTAGTTCTGTTTCTGGTAAGGACAAAAATAAGCTACATTTAAAAACTGATTATGCAAATTCTAACTCAAGTGACTTTTACTCTATTTTAGATATACAATCAAGTGTAATATAATTTGTAATTCGATTTTAGACTCTTTTGATGTAACTAAAGAGGTAGCAGCAGATAAAGTTAATACTACAGAAGTTAATATAGCTGAAGAAGATGTATTGGATATATTATCATCAATATTATTATCTTCTTTATACAAATTACTAAAATAACTTTTTTTTTATTCTGTTGTAACTAAACTACAGTTCTGAAAGTGTGTACGTGCTGCTCTAAGTGTATCATTAAATTGGTTTTGACAATATTTATATTCTATTCCTTTTTGTTTAAATCCAGTTATATATTCTAGTTTAACAAAATAAATCCAAATTGAATCGAGCATTTTTTTTTTAAAAAAAACCAATTACATACTAACTTATCAATTTAGAATTTATTTAAAAAAAAGTTTCTTTTAAAATCTATTAATATTAATACTATAAAAAAATTGAAGTTAAAACAACATATTTTGTATATAGACAAATATTTATATAAAATATCAAACATGAAAAATTAGTACTTTCTTTAATTATACATATTCAGGTATACAAATTTCAAAAGGTAATAAGTGTACATATTTACTAATACGAATTATGTTCTGTTTCAGAGATTTGCATTATATACTGATACTATATTCTGTTTCAAATATTTACGTTACATATACAAATTAAAAATTTTTTTAAAGGCTTGCATACATGAGCAAATAAATAAATATATATATTTTATTTTAAGGATTCATATATGTAAATAAATAAAGTTTAAGAGCTAGCATGCGTGAGAAAATAAATAAGTATTATATGATAGTATGAAATCTAAGTTGTAAGCTACATAGCAAAACTGTTACTGTATAAGTATGAAATAATGCACAGAGGTATTATTTTAAATAATAGCTTGAATTAGGCTTAATTTAGACCAAAATTTGATATTACACCCTTATGTATTATTTCATACTTATATGGTATATAAAGGTAAATTCAATTTTTATATAATAAATACAGATTTCTAATTTATATAGTGGATTTACTGCTATTTTGCAACTCAGTTTTGCTCTGTTTTAAAATATTTTTTTGTCAGGCATCTTAATATATAGGCTGTCAGACCATGTACATGCATGGTGTATGCATACATGCAAACATACGCATGGTGCCCATCTCTACTCACAAGTATTAAAAGTAAGAGACACATGACTTTGTAGAATTAGACATATAGTTAGCTCAAAAAATTTAAGCTATTGGTTTGGAGAAGTAGCTTTGGAGTCAAAGATTCTTCAACTAATATTGGTGTAAAGGTAAGATAATTTGCTATAAGCATTAGAAAAGGTCTAGAAGGTAAAAAAATTAGATAATTATTAAGAGTGCTAGTTTTACTGTTGTCAAAATCGTAGTTAAAGAAAAATTGTATATTGAAGGAATTTGTCTGAATATAGTTAATTCTGCTTGATTGTGTATTGTTTGATTAGATGAAGTGGTAATGTAAAAATATGCTCCAATATCAAACATGTTGAAATGGTAGAGAAATGTCACGATGGTGATCAAACCCCTATATACTATGTTTGGGAATGTTCGGTTGTCAAGATTTGGATTTTGATCGTAATATCACGTAGGCACGTGGTGCTCGTGATGATCAGGGTAATAGACACTAATCAGATAGACCAATGACTTCATGCATAGATAGTTTATTTGTAATATGTATGTTATAGATATAGTCTATTGTTATTTGTGCACAATCTTGCATTAAATATATAGTCATCAATGTATAGTTTGATGAAACCAATTTGAAGTCAGAAAATTGATATAAATAGAATAAAGAATTCGTAAGCGAATCTAGTTCTCTTTTTTTCCAATAATAAGAAATCACTTAGTTAAATAAATACAACCTGTGGTTCCTCAAGTAGTCATGTGTATATTTCATTAAGTTAAGGTGTTGCTACAGAATCGAAAGAGGTGTCACCAAGTCTTGTGAGTTTGCTGGCGAACCCAAAGTGCTTTGATCTGAGCTAAACTAGCACTAGAATACTATCTAGTGTATATCTACTTGACAAGGAAGAACCTGGGTATAAATAAAGGCCTCTCGCAAGAAATTTTTAACAACTAGCACAGGTTGAACTCTGTCTGTGCAAAATAAATAAAAAAAAAAAAAAAAAAAAAAAGAGAGCAAAATTTTTAATACCACATTCAATGTACATAATAAAGCAAGACTTATCCAGGCAACAAAGAATAGGAGGCTCTGACTCAACAAAACCTATTTATCATAGTCATAACGATGAAGATATGGAAGAGTTTTTTGAGGATTACGAAACATATTGTGCATCAAAGAATTGGGATGATGATAAAAAATGACAAGTAGTTAGACTCCATGTATCCAAAGATCTGAAACCCTGGATTCATAAATAAATTAAAGCCCAGACAACATAGACAAACCTGAAAGCCAAAATCATAAGTGGGGCTCAAGCATCTTGTAATAAAGAAGAAAAAATAGAATGATTAAGGAGCATTAAGCAAAAGTTTAATAATACAATAAAAGCTTACACCAATCAGTTTAATGCTTGTGCAAAGTTAGTTAAGACTGAAATAAGGAAAAATGAGAAACAGCAATAGTACATACAAGGGTTAAGAGAACCTTTTAGAGAAAAAGTAAAATTGCAATATCTCGAAACATATAATGATACCAAAAATTAGGCTTTGAAGATGGAAAAATATAATAAAGACAATAAATACGTACCTTTTAAGAATACTAATATAACAAAATTGGATATGGACATCTTACAACAGCTTTTAATGCCGTAAAAATCTGCTGTGTTGATCAGAATGCAGACCAAGATGACTGAATAAGCAAAATGGAATCAAGCATCAAAGAGTTAACAAAAGCCATTATAAGCCTTAAAGAGAATAAACCACCTAACGCATGATGTAATCAAAGGACGAATAATGCAACACAAGATCAAAACATGAATAACCAGAATCAAGTAAATAGATTTCGAAGGTGCTATAAATGTGGTCAAGAAGAGCACATTGCTCGCAATTGTCCTACCAGAACTCTGAATCAACAACCCACCAATCAAAAAAATAAGACACCGAATAATGAAGCTGATAACCCTAAAAAAGGGGTATAAATATGCATTATTTTGAGTTTAATGACATAGTAAAAGATAAAGGTAATGAATATCTGATGATAAAAGCTAAAAAAGGCGGATCATTGTTTGATGTAAGGAATTTAGACAAAAGAAGATGAGTAGAGGTCGAATACAAAATGCCTTCATGGACACAGTAAAGTACTTATATTGAAACACTTGAAGAAATTAAACAATACAAAAAGGAATCAATAATGTATATCCCTATATCAGAATTAACACAAGAATTAAATGTTCTGAAGCAAATTGCATTGCTCGAACTTCCAATTACACTTGGTCAACTGTTTAAATGGTCTCCAAAGGCCAGAACTGAAGTGCTTAAAGGATTAACTAGAAAGAAAAAAGAAAGTGACATATTGTCAGTAAATACAAAAATCTGAATTGTACAAGGAATGCAAACAGAACTTAATCTAAAAATAGGAAATGTCCCTATTGGAATAGCGAAAATTAATGGTGAAGCGGTTAAAACACCTATTGACCCTGGCTCACGGCTGAATCTTATGCATAAATCATTTGCTAAATATAAGGGAATGACTTAGAAATCCATAACTAGCAAAGGCCGTATGGCTGATGACTATTTGAGTGAATTTGTGAGATATATTCCTAATGTCAAAGTAATAGTAGAAGGCGTTAGAGTATTACAAGGGTTCTATGTAATGAAAGCCGCAAGCTTTGAAGTCTTACTGGGCATGCCCTGGCTCGCTGTGACAAAATGTAACTTAAAATAGAAAAACAATAAATTATGATGTACTATAAAGTTAGACCTTAAAGAAGCTTCATTTGTTGTATCAATCATTTCTAAAGCTTGGGTGAACCTGTCAGAAGAGGATGATGATTACGATGATAAAACTGACACAGAGGACATAATGACTATGTGAAAAGTGGAGATAGATGAAAATGTACTATATAATAATAATGAAGAATGGAGAAGCATTGTACAGAAAGCTAATAACTTGAATCGACTGTGTGTAAAAGAAATAGAACCTATTGATTTACATGACTTGGAGGGAAAGAACTTTGTTGGGGAAATAATTTATTGGTCAAACATATATGAACAAAAGAACAAAACAATGAAAGGGTCAGATCTGAAAATTGTATTAAGATTAACAAAGGACAATTGTAATGAACTGAACTTTGGGAATTGTATTTCTACAGAAGAAAAACAATGGGTGCAAGAACAATTAATGAAGGAAATTCCCAATGTATTTGTATTTGACATATCAGAAATTGGGAAAATGGATCTAATCTAGTATGAAATAAAAACTGGAAGAAAAGAAATACCACCTATGCATATATATCCAGTAAGAATCAACAATCTGGAACATGTCCAAATATTTAAAGATCAACTTAAGGATATGTTAAAATATGGTCTTTTGAAAAAAAGCATGTGCCAGTATGCTTTTTATTGTTTTCTGATCAAGAAAAAGAAAACTAGTACTGACAAACTAAAGGTAGTTGGTAATATGAAACCCTTAAACAAGTACATTATCAAAGATGGATATCCTCTGCTAATCATATGTGATATTTTGGAGAAAGCTATTAGACATGACTGGTATTCAAGTGTAGAGGCCTATAAAGGCTATTGGCAGATAAAAATCTGTGATAAAGATAAAGACAAAGTAGCTGTTGCTACTCCGCTAGGTGTATTACATTATACCATTATATGTATGGGGCTTAAAAACATTAGTGAAACATTTTAGCATTTAATGGACATTTTACTTCAAGATAAAGTATGGAGAAGTATTGCTGCTGCATATCAGGATGATATTGGGCTTTGGACTTATGGAACAATAGAGGAGCATGTTGACATGTTTGTCAAACTTGCAAAGACATTCAGCAATGCCAGTCTTACCTTTGCAGCAAAAAAGTGCTATCTGCTGTATAAAGAACTAAACATGTATGAATTTATTGTCAGTAAACAGGGTATAAAACCTGATCCAAGCCAAAAAAGTAAATAAGCGAATAGATAACCCCAAGAAACATTCAAGAAGTTCATGCTTTCCTAGGCACTGTGAACTACTACTGTTGATTTGTAAAGAATTTTAGCGCAATCGCTAAACTGCTTACTGAATTAACCAAAAATGACATTGGGTTCAAATGAAATAAAGAACAAGCTAAAGCGTTTCAATAGTTAAATTGAAAAATAGTAGATAATGTAATGTTAAAAGGACTGAATTGGCAAGATGCCAAAAATGGAAGTCGCCATTATCAAATAAGTACCGATGCATATGATTTTGTATTAGGTGCAGTTCTCGAACAGAAAGATAATCTGGGAATGCTTCGCCCTGTAATATTTGAATCACGAAAATTAAGCTCGCATGAGTTGACTAATATGATAACTGAAAGAGAATGCTTGGGTATAGTCTTTGGCTATAACATGTGTAAGTGATATGTAGCAGGTACAATATTAGACATATGGGTTGACCATCAAGCCTTGAAATGGCTATTAAATAAAACCAAGTTAAAAAGACGTTTAATATAATGAGTAATTGCTTTACAAGCATTTGATTTTAATGTACAGTACAGATCTGGTAAAAAACATGGACATGCTGATGGTCTTTAAAGATATTCTGACCCAGTATTATCTGTAAATTGACTTTCAGATAAAGAGTTTGTTGATTCATTGTTATTAAGTATGAATAACATGGTTGATCAATATGCAAAGGATTTGGAAGTAGTTAAATTCTACTTAAAGTATATGCATTGGCCACATTATGTGCAAAAGGAACACTTACCAAGACTCCAAAACAAAGTCAAAAGGTATTGTGTGATTGAAGGTCAATTGTTTCAAAGGTCTGTCAATAATAAACCACCATGTAGAGTAATAGTAAATGATAAAGAAAAAGCTAGTATTATGAAGACGAATCATGAAGGACTTGCAGAAGAAGGTGAACATTATGGTGTGAATGGCACAGTTAGAAAAATCTTGTTGAATTATGTGTAGAGCAATTGAAGTATATATAAAGATGTAAAAAAGTATGTAGCATCTTATCAAATTTGTCAAAAATATAGCAGTAAGCAATTACCAGAGCCTATCCATGTAACTGCCACAAGCTGAATTTTCTATCAACTTTATATTGACTGCATTGGGCCTTTGCCCAGAACTTCTGCTAGCCATGAATATATAGTTATTGCAGTCAAAGATCTAACTGGATACATTGAGGCACAAGCATTAAGAAATAAAAATGCAAAAGCAATTGCAGCATTTATTTGGGATGAAGTAATTACCAGACACAGATGTTTTGCTGAATTAACCTTCAATAGAGGTACAGAATTTAAAAATAAATTAATAGAGGAATTGACTATGCGATTACAAATAAAACAACAATTCACAGCCAGTTACCATCCGGAAGCCAATGGTAGAGCTGTAAAAATGGTGCAAAAACTTACTCGTATCCTGAGAAAGGTTAGTGTGCAAGTACAAAATCACTGGCATGAACATTTGCATGCTGCTGTTTGGGCGCTTAACATCACTATAGGAGATTTGGGTTACTCACCTTTTAGACTAGTATATGATTATGATGCGATAACCCCAATCGAATTAATTCTTGAAAGTTATCAAGTTTTTATGATCAAGAAAACTTGAACTACTGATGACCAATTGGCTTTTAGAACACAACAAATAAAAGGATTAATGCATAAATTAAAAGAAGCAAAGATGAATCAGGATGAACTTCGGGAGCAATGGAAGAAATTTCATGATTATCATGCGAATGCATATAAAGAAAAGATCGAAGTTGGTGATTTTGTACTTGTTTATGATTCAAAACTTGACAATTCATCCTGGAAACTAAATTATAGATGGATTGGTTTGTTTATTATACAAAGAATCAGAGAAAAAGATCACCTGTATTTGAATGAAATAGATGTAAGTGTATTAGCAAATCTTTTTACTAGAAACTGGGTAAAAATATTGAAGCAAAGGCCAAAATGGATGAATTTGCAAGATGGTAACTTCGAGGATGAAGATCATGGGAGGTCTAGCTTCTGTCACAATGGTGGTTAAACCCCTATATACTACATTCGGTGAATGTTCAGTTGTCAAGATTTGGATTTCAATCGTAACATCATGTAGGCACGTGGTGCCCATAATGATTAGGGTAATAGAAATAATCGGATAGACCAATGACTCATGCATGGATAGTTTATTTATAATATGTATATCATAGATGTAGTCTATTGTTATTTGTGCGCAATCTTGTATTAATTATGTAGTCATCGATATATGGTTTGATGAAACCAATTTGAAGTCAGAGAATTGATATAAATAGAATAAAGGATTCATAAGCGAATCCAGTTCTCTTTTTTCCCAATAATAAGAAATCACTTAGTTAAATAAAATACAAACCTGTGGTTCCTTAAGTGGTCATGTGTGTGTTTCATAAAGTTAAGGTGTTGCTACAGAATCGAAGGAGGTGTCATCAAGTCTTGTGAGTTTGCTGGCAAACCCAAAGTGCCCCGATCTGAGCTAAACTAGCACTAGGAGACTGTCCAGTATGCACTCACTTGACAGAAAGTCAATAAGCTTGTATTTAGATAAGAAGCTAAATGTGGTGTTATATATATTGAAATTACCCAAAATAATAGGCTATAAGTTATGTTGTTAAGCTTGTGTAATCCAGTTGATTACAGTGTTTTAAGTTAAATTACACCTGGTAGAGTCTGTGAAGGAGAGGTAGACTAAAATAATATAGAGCTTAATATTATATTTAAAGAAGAGGTTAAATACAATAGCTCTATCAGGATATATAAAACAGCTATAAACATGGAGCTTAAAATAGTTATGGACTATAATAGCTGCTTCTTCTATTAAACTATCAGAGTTAGCCTAGTAGTATGTATATAATTTGTTGTTGCAAAAAAAAAGATGAGTTATGTTAAAAATCTTGGTTTTAGTAATGCTAACAATAGAGATATTGTGATTGATACAGTAATTTTGCTAGATTTGCCTTTTGGAAACTATATTAAAGTCTCTAATATTGTGAGTAGCAATAGTAAGATATAGGTTATAAGAGCTAGATTGTTTAGTTTGTGAAAGGCTACAGAATAAAGGTGTAGATTTTATAGAAGATTTGCAATAGATTGGGTATTGTGAAAAGAAAAGT